TTGGCACCCAGGGCACGCTGCTGGCTCATGGTCACCCTGTCGTCCCCCAGCACTCCCAGTCCCTCTCCACAGAGCTGCTCTCCAGCAGGTCCACCCCAAGCCTGTACTGCACGGAAAACGAGGTCTCACACCCTGCTTAACGACGCTGGGGGAGAGCGGCTCCGCAAAGCTCACGTGCTCACGTCCTCGTCCGCCATGACACGGTCAGCCACGCGGGAAGAAGCCCCACCACCCCGTCCCGGCGAGCCTCGTGCTCTTCGTCGCTTCATCCTCCCAGCGCAGCAGACGCCAGGAGAAGGCTGCCGGCACTCGCAGCCTGGGCACTCACCGGGGGTCCCGACCGCCGCTTCCCACCGCTTCCCAGCTGCCTGGAACACCAGCAGCCCCGCTTCATATCCCATGGAAGGGGAATGGCTCTTTGCTGCTGCACAAATGGGATTTTCTGGCATAACCTGCTCCTGTCGGAGCATCGCCGGCAGCAGAACCGCTGCAGAGGGGACCAGCCAGCTCACGGACAGCCCCTCGCCTCTCCCTGCCCTCCTCTGCCCCGGCACGTCCGCTCGGCCGACCACCAAAGCCACCACAGACCCAAAACCGTTCCCTAACCATCAGGCCAAACGATGGCAATCCCAGCCTTTTTCCTTAAATCACCTTCTTCTACAGACTTCCACGTATCTCCACGAGCAAGGCACTGTTTTTTGTTTTGCAATCCCTCGATCCACTAAAACAGCGGACTAAAACGAGAAGTGACTCAAAAACTCACCTATGAGTATTATGTCTCCAGCTTACAAAATAATCCCATCTTGTGCTTCTTTTGCATCCACTTTCAATGTTACATGATTAAGATGTCAAAAAGAATTTTCGGTATTCACCACATTTTGCACACTTAATGCACGCTCCATTGTACATTTTCATCCACCTAGGAAATTCAAATCTAATACAGCCACTGTATATAAGTTACGTTCTAGCTGAATGGAAAATTCAGTTGCAAACCAAGGCCTGGCAGTCTCCAGGATTTGCCTATTAAGAGTAGGACGAATAAACTTCATAAAGTACTTGCAAACTTCAGCTCCACGCAACTCCGCGTTTTTGAAATTTAATTTAAAAATTGCACACTTCATTTATAAAAACAGCAGAGGTATATAAATTAATTGTGCAATAGCCATATAAAATCCAAATTAAAATGTAATACAATACCAATTATTATCCCTAATCCATCAGGCGGTGCAAGTGAACCACGCATGAACATCATCCAATTTCAAGTCACGACTGCCCTATCTTGCCGGAGGTCTTCAGTAAATGAAGGATGATTACCCCAAATCTGTCAAAATTATTTGCTCTTTTTATCCCTGTTTACACTACAAAAGCAGAAAATATGAACCTGGAGAGCATAAATTTGAGGCCCAACGCTGAGCACTCGTTACGTTTAGACTGCACTGCATTAGAGAATCGTTTTCTCAGATTTATTACAGAATCACAGAATAGTAGGGGTTGGAAGGGACCTCTGTGGGTCCCCCAGCCCAACCCCCTGCCCAAGCAGGGTCACCCAGAGCAGGGGGCACAGCACCGCGGCCAGGCGGGGCTGGAATATCTCCAGAGAAGGAGACTCCACAGCCTCCCTGGGCAGCCTGGGCCAGGGCTCC